TCTCTCTCTCTCTCTCTCTCTCTCTCTCTCTCTCTCTCTCTCTCTCTCTCTCTCTCTCTCTCTCTCTCTCTCTCTCTCTCTCTCTGAATCCAATATTTCTTCATTAAAAAAATATCAAAAATTTCCAGGGAAAAAGGAACACCTCGTGTTTCTCTTTCGCCATTTCTTGAAATGAAAAAAAAAGAACTCGACTGAGCGATTCAACATTTGCGTTTCCCTCGAAACATCCCACCACTATAACTCGATACTTATGTCTCTCCCACAGGAAATCCCTCTCCCTTTCACACTGCTCGCTTAAATCGTTCTCCCCCGGCAGAGTAAGCAACCCTTGTTCCATACAAATCATCACTTACATCCTCTCTCTTCGAGAGAAAGACCATTTTTTTTTCTTCTTCTCCGCAACAAAAACGCGACCACCTCGTACATTTTCCAAGATCGTCCTTTCTTCGGATGGAAAACACTGTTAACACCCTCAGGCATGTGAATATCTCGCCATCCCCATGATTGCGATGAAACCTTCTCTAAAGCGACTTATTTTCCACAAAACCGTGTATCCTCTCGTGTATCCTCGTTGAAAAAATAACGTTCTATTTGGAACCACGATCCAAGATAAATAATAAACGAAATTATTGCGCGTCCTTAACGAAATTTTTAATTCTTGATTACTTATTAATATAATAAAACTAATACGAAAAAAAAAATAATTAATATATATATATATATCTTGAAAATGTTAATCGTTCAAACAACATAAACGTTCTCAACAAATCTCTACATCGCCACGAAACACATCAAGTTCCTCGCAAAGAATAAGATTCTCACAACCGAAAAAGTCTATAATTCTTGCTTCACGTCACGTAAAATTTATCACAGAACGTCCATTTCCAAGCATTCATTTCGACCACCTCTCTGTACACCACCTCTATTCATCTTCCGGAAACTTGAATATTAGAGTGGTCGGCAGGCTGTCTTGAAGAGTAGCCAAGTTGACACAGGCGAGCAAGTTTCGATCGTGCATGGATGATCGGTATCCAAGGATAATCCGACTAGATTGAATCCACCACCGTCTCTGGCAACCGTGCCACGAACCTCTCTTCCCCGCCATTTTATCTCGTTCCATGCCGGCCGTGTCCGTGCCTACGCGAAAACATTCTTCGACAAGCGTGCATCGACTACGTAACAAAGCGCGTTATCGCCGCCATCCACCCTTTCGGTGACCTTTCACCGCGCTGGCGATGAGGGGAGGAACGAGGAGTGTTGGACAGGAAGTTGGAGCGCGCGAAAGGCACGTGCAACCCACTCGTGCTTCCTCTCCGGGTCACGTGTTGCCACGAGGAGAGATGCTTCGACGTGGTTGTTTTGCAAATTGACGAGCGCGATAACCGTCGCGAGGAAATTGGCGAAGGAACGCGCCAATTGGATTCTCAAAGCGTACGAAACTTTTTTCCAATTTTGATTTTTTTTTTTTTTCCTTCCATTTGGAATTCGAACTGCAAGCTCGATCGAAGCCTTTTTGAAACTTTCAGCGTGGATCTTGAAAATTCGATCTTTGATGAGATGTGCTTTTTTTAGGTTTTTCTTTCTTTCTTATTTTTTTTTTTTTTTCTGGAAAGAAAATTTTTCACGATGCGAGGGAATTGAAAAGTAAGTTGAATTGAAAAATGATGGATATCGAATTAATCGATTTTTTTGAATAAAAATTTTCAAGTTTTCCTTTGTTAAAGAGTGTTTCAAGATAAGATTATTTTTCGATTAACCGCATCGTCGTTCTGTTCTTATTATTTTGGTCCGTGAACTCTTCTAATCTCTCCGCAATATCTCGTGAAGCGTATTGAACGGAACGGTGATCGATTTATCGGTGAAACGTCAAACAAAGTTGAATATCCTCTCTGAATATTTCCCACGATCGAAGGGTGAAATACGAAAATCGTGGTATCAGCATCGCGCTTCGAACTTTCGGTCCAACCATCTCCCATTTTTGTCTTCAAGAATCCGTTTAAATCCAGAAATAAAAAGAGATTCCATTTCAATTTCTATTCCAATCAGATTGAATTCCAACTTAACGACAATTTTCCCTTTTCTTCTTCCTTTCTTTTCTTTTTTTTTTTCTTTTTGCCAAAGTTTCGATATCTTCGTATCCCGTCGTACACCGATAATTATTACCAATCGACCGTTGATGGTGGCTATTTCGATCCCAACGGTTTCCAATTAAACGATAATCATTGTTATGGCACCTACGAAACGGAGGAAGCTTTGGAAGAATTGAAATTGAAACACGATTCGATTTCGATTTCCTAGTAACACGCTAAAATTAAAATTCTTTTCAAACTTATTTTTTTCTATATATTTAATATCTAATTCCTTTTTAATGTCTCGCAATTTTCCTATCCAATGAATGTCATGGAGACAAACCCATCTCTCGTTCCATTAATAATTTACTTTAATTTACCTTCGAACTTTTTCCCTTTAAACTCGACACGCGCGAATTGCGACACAATTTTTCATATTAATTCGTTAACTCAAATGAATATTACACATTATTGCACGACTTAACCCATTTTCAATTAAAAATCTGCAAATTCAGAATCAATTTACCAAATCCAAAAACCACCCCTTTACTTCAACTACCTTCGATCCTTTTACTTTATCTTTTCACGCACAATTTTTGCTCGTTAATTCGAGATAAATATTACGCCCCCAACAATCTCCAATAATAAAAACTCGAAGAACCCGAAACGAATCGACGGACCAACTCCTAACTAATTATCCCCCAATTTACTTCGACCCTTTACTTTATTTTCCTTCGAATCGACGCATAATTTCCTATCATTAATTTCTTCCATAATCGAAACGAATACCACAACAATTTGCGATATATTCCAAATTATATCCCGCGACTAACCAACTTCAACCCTCCTTCTCCTCTTTCAGATCGATTTTTTAATCGAGCTCACCGATTCCTCCTCCTCCTCCCCGATTCGATAACAACTCGGAAACAATCGGATAGAAAAAAATGTCGTGTCGGGACGTGTCATCCCCAGTTGGAGAGGGCGAGGAGGGGAAAAACGGACGCATAAACGACGATTTTCTCTCCGCGCCGAGAATAAACGTCCGTCGGGAGGAATAGGCGGGGATGCGGGGGCGTCAGCTCGCGCGACAGCTCGCTTCGAAACTGTCACCCGTAAAAGTTTAAATGGTCGGGACACGATGAATACGAGGGGGGAGGGGGAACCGCGAATCACCGTTGAATTGAATGCGCGCGACAGTTTGAAGGCACCGTTTGTCCGACACCGATGCTCCTTCTCGTTAAACACGCCTCATCCCCCCTTCGCTCCCCGTCAAATATTTGTCCACTTTGGTGGAGTGAAATTATTCCACGTCGAATACCAACTGTGAAACTGGTAAACTTTCTTCGATGACGATGCTTCTTCTTCTTCTTCTTCTTCTTTTTCTTCTTCGTCGTCGTCTCCTCTTCCGTGCGAGTGAAATCTCGAAGAGAGATTTGAGAGAGGTTTTAAGAGGACGCGAATATACGTGTTTTCAGAATATTTTGTCCGAGAGGAGTAATTTTTACGACCGATATCCATTAAAATGAAAAATAAAACGAGAGAGTCGCGAATATTTTATTTTATTTGCGTAAAAGGATATCGCGTCGCGACGCAGTATTCGTTAAGAGAAATTAACCGTCGAGAGAAAAGAGTTTTTGCTTTTTAAATATATTTTGCCACCCTTAACAAATCCCCAGCTGTTCTGAAAGCTGTATATTTCCAAAAATGATTAATTTCAGATGAGAAATTAAAAATTTATATACACCGCTTCTCGAGCATGCTATAAAAATAAATCCTTTGATGGAAAGATGCATAAAGTTGGAAGAACTGCCTATTATTTTCTATCGAGAATCCTTATAAATATTACAATTTTTATCACGCCGTTGTATCACGCGAAAAAAAGATTATAATCGAATCAACTTGGTCCATCAAACATGCGCACTCGTGGAATCCGAGATAACTTTGTACGTAACATCGATATAATCGATGTTTTAACGGCGTATTTATCGCGAGATTCGATTTCGATCTTAATTTCATTCCCAACATTTCAATAAAAGTCAATAAATACCGGCTAATAAAGTCAGATTCAAACGATGTACGCGCAAGATAAATATTTGCAAGGGGAAGATTTAAACGCGAGGTTGTATATCTGAGGATCGAAGATTATCTTTCGCGAGAAAAATCGTTCGAATTGCGTACGATTTAGCGCAGAGGTCGGGCGAAATGATGGACTGTTCCAAGTTGTAGCGGTGTTATGGAGGTACTTTGCGATATTAGAGGAAAGTTCGCTCGCCAAGTAGCCGGTGAACTTACCGAGGGTGATTTAGATGGGCTGGTTATTGTTAAAAGCAAAGGAAGGTAATTTTACCGGAGACGTGACTTGGATAATGCATTGAAACTTTTAAATTGATTCCTCGATACAATGGGTATTGGCACAATAGCTGAACTTCTCGTTATTTTGAAATATATTAAGTACGTATTTGTGTTGGTGAGGATAAGCACAAAAGAACCATCCTATTAATTTATTCATTCAATATCGACAACGGGTAAAAGTTTCTCCGTGAATAAATCTTTTGTTGGATTTTTTTCTAAAGTAGATCTTTAATTTCCTAATTAATTTTATTATCCTTTGTCTCTAATATTCCAATTTATTCAATTTATTTATTTCTCTTCTATTTTTCGAAACAGTTCACAAATCTACCTCGAAAAAAAAATCCATCCATCTTCTCCCCTTTCGAAGATACATTTCAACAGTGACTCTAAATCTTTGGCAGCCTAATAAAATGCGCCACTATAATTAAATTTTCACGGTAAAGAAGGAAAACTCGAAAATGGAAAAATTGATTTACTAATTAGAAAATTCAATCCATTTTCTAAACTATCAGTTTCAACAACAAAAAATTCAACCAAAGAAAAACTTCTAAAGAATTCTAAAAAATCTAATCGACTAATTACAAAATTCCCATCAACTTCGATTAACAATCGATTTCCCAACACCAGTCCACGCCATAATTTCACAACGTCTTCTAACCAACTTTTG